TTTGGCAGATCCTTGTGAGACAATGCATTTATTTATTGTAACATCCTTCTCTTCCTTTCTCTCCCACCCTTCTCTCTCTTTCTTTCGGACAGTTTTTCTTGCACCCCAGCCTGTCTTAAAACTCACCATTTTGCTATGGATGACTTCGAATTTCTGATTCTTCTGCCTCCCAATCCTGAGTGCTGGGATTAAGGATTTTTGCAGCACTATGCCCAGTTTACAAAATGCTGGGATTGAATCTAGGGCTTCATGCACGCTGGCTGAGTACTCTGCCCGGGGAACTATACCCCCAGTCCTGAATTTTTCTTATTTTCTGACCAAATATGTTTCAGCTCATCTTAGTTTCTGCCACGCTCCCAGAACCAGTCATTTTCCCATGCAGTCCTGGATCTTTTATTATTATTAGAAATGATATTAGAAAGCATCTTCTTATTTGTAAACACTGGAAATCAAATATCTGGGTGTTAGGTTCTTGCTCTGCTGAAGGTCACTTCTTTTGAACCCCCCTGAGCGGAGAGACAGAGAAACACATTTGCATGTTGTACCGATTGGTTTTTCTCAGCTTTTGACACTAACCTAGACACACCAGGGAAGATGGAATCTCTACTGAGCAACAGCTTCAGTCAGATTGGCCTGTAGTCTAGTCTCCAGGGAGCATTTTTCTTCCTGACTAATGATTGGTGTGGAGGGGCCTAGCTCACTGTGGGAGGTGCCGCCATTGCGCAGGTGGTTCGGGGTTGTATAGGAAAGCAGGCTGAGCAAGCCACAAGGAGAAAGCAGTGTTTTCCCATGACCTCTGCTTCAGTTCCTGCCTCCAGGTTCCTGCCTGGAAGTTCTGCCTTGGCCTCTGTTAATGGATTGGAACCTGGGAAATTTAGGCCAGTGCAGTGACATCGGATAGTGAACACACATTTACAAGCTGTTTTTGCTAAAAGGAATGGGCTCCTCACTTGGGTCTACAGGGTAACTAAATGCAGTCTGGAAGCCTAGCATATTCGCTTTCACTTTGTGTCTGTCCCCTTTACAGTTTAAGTTTAGCCTGTTTAGTCTCTGTGTGCAGCCATGTTAACCACTCTAGGAATGTTCATTTGAACTTTGAGGTCTAATCTATCTCATTTTCCTGAGCCACCGTCCTAAACCTGAAGTCATCTAGGAGGAACACTAGAACATCAAAGGACGGTCACATCCCACATGTAAAAATTATCTGTGATGGGTAGACACTACCCTGGAGCCAGAGTAAGCATCTCGTGGGTACCAGATTGTTCCCTTCAGGCAACAAGAACTGCTTCTGGTCCCCTTGCAGAACCACAATTGAGGTAACGATCACCCAGACCACACATTGCCAAACTACATGTTCATCTTCTCCCCTGCCTCCAACCTTTCCTCTACTTAAACTTGAAGCTCATATCACTATCCTAAAGATAAAACCCAGGGTCACCATAACCTTTCATGGGTTCCTCTTCCCAACATGCCACACTGATTTTATCTCCTTTGCTTTTCAACATCACTTGGTGAGACAGAGATCCTCGCCTGATGGGGCTACTGGAGCTGGGGATTTGCCTTAAAACTCCAGCTACAATGGGAAAACAAATGAAGACCTAGACTTGCTGTGGCTTATTACCTGCAGAGACCATTGTCCAGGAGGCGGAGCTCAGCTTTGCCTGAATGAAAGAGACGGAGCTGGGATCCCGAGGAGGCACAACACGGATGCTGGGAGAGGGCTGCACAGAGTGAGCTCCAGAGACTTCGGAGTCCACATGAAAGGTCAGGAGGAAATCCAAGTGAGTCAGGGAAATTCCCCTTAAGAGGGCCTGAGGAGAAACGCCCCGGAAGCGGGCTGTGTTCCCACCTGTCCAAGTGATCAAAGTATTCACAGGGCTTCTGAACAATTGGAATGAATTAAGGTCAGGATACTGTATTAGCACAAAAGGAAACTTCTCAGGTGACTTTTTGGTTAAGTGGGAAATTGTGACAAAAGCTCTATTGAAAGAAGTTTTAAAAAATGGATCTGAGAACCCATTAGGAAGCAGGACTCATCGTTTTTCAAACTACTGCCCAGGATATGAGTTTTAGTTACCTTCATCCTGTGCAGATATCTGTGGTGACCACAACGATTTGGCAGTTGTATCATGCTCTGTGGCGCAACTTACATCTCAAGAGTGCATCTGGCTCTTGCTTTGTGGACACTTTTATTCTGTTTTTACATATTTCGTCTACCCTTCTCCAGCCACATGGCCCTATTCCTGCTTAGTATTCAATAGCCTGCACTAAACCCTCACACTGCCTTCCTCGGAACGATTCAGAACTATCTGAACTCTGTCTCCACACTTTAAGCTCCGATGATCCTAAGCAAACCTTTGCCACTTCTGCAGATTCTGAGTTTGGAGTGACACCTGATATATAGATAACACAGGGAAAGGAGAGCAAATGTTTTCTTTTCTCCCTTACAAGTTTAAAAAACAAATCAGTTGGCAGGCTGGAGAGTTGGCTCAGTAGTTAAGAGCACTTGTTGCCCTTCCAGAGAACCTGGGTTCGATTCCCAGAACCCACATGGCAGCTCACAATTGTCTGTAACTCCAGTTCCAAGGGATCTGACGCCCTCCTTGGGACTCTATGGGCATCAGTCACCCATATAGTGCAAATCCCATGTGTTAGCAAAACACTCGTACACATAAAAACAAAAAGTTGTTTCAACAGCATCTCCCAAGGATTGCTAGTTCTTAAATCACGTTTAGAAACACTGGGACTTAAACACACTCATTGTTTCTTTATCTTGTGGTTGTCCTTTAGTTTTCTAATTGTGACATGCTTGACGTTAGAAAGCTTAGCAGTAAGGACACACTTACAATCAGTGAGTACTCCCACGGCGCAGATTGTGTCTAAGAACAATTTCCCTCACACAGCAATGGAGACTCTGAGAAATGGCTGTCTTCAGAGGAGACACTTTTTTTCTTTTTCTTTATGGGAAGCTTGGAATCTTTTAAAAAGAAGATAATCTGTTGGTGTAGTTTTCTTGTTCTACCAGGTTCCAGCACTCGTCAACCCCAAATAAACACACTGATGCTTTATTAATTATAATATAGGTGGCCAGGGCTTCTTATTGGCTAGCTCTCTTACTCATTAACCCATTTCATTAATAGATGTATTTCCTTGTGGTCTTATCTTACTGGAGAATGCCTGGTGCATCCTTTCTTCCCAGACCCTACATGGTGACTCCGTAGTCCCTCTCTGCCCACCTTTCCCAGAATTCTCCTTGTCTCCTAGTCCCACCTATCTTCCTGCCTCTATTGGCTACTGGCCAGACAGTGTTTTATTCATCAGCCCATAAGAGAAACATATATACAAAAGGACATCCCCCATCAATAATTATTTTTTAGATGCATACAAAAGTTTTCTTTATGACCTTTACACAGATTTTCCTGTTTATTATTGATCTTAATTTGGAATTCTCTCTTAGTCTCATGCTACTGTTACTGGCCGAATTTCGAATTGTACTGAAATTCAGTCTTACACCCAGACCCTCAGATTAAGAATCCTCTATATAGAGCTAAAAGGAAACATTGACAGTTTAGGTGGTGGAGGAACAAGATCAGAATTGCATTTTGTAAGTACCAGTCTGACACATCATTGGGAATGGAGAGGGTGGCAGGTGAGAAGAGGGCAGTATATGTTGTGCGTGTGGGTGGGTGCGTGTGTGTGTGTGTGTGTGTGTGTGTTCGTGCGTGCATTTGTGTGTGCGTGCATCTGTGTGTGTGCATGTGTGTGTGCGTGCGTACACCTGTGTGTGCGTGCATCTGTGTGTGTGCATGCGTGCATGTATCTGTGTGTGTGCGTGTGTGTGCGTGCGTGCACCTGTGTGTGCGTGCATCTGTGTGTGTGCATGCATCTATGTGTGTGTGCGTGGGTGCATCTGTGTGTGTGTGCGTGCATCTGTGTGTGTTTGTGTGTGGTGTGATGATTACGACTAGATGCAGGGTAGGGACTAATTTGAGATCTTGTCAGTGGGTAAACAAATAGAGGCTGACTGCAAGGCTACCAAGCCTCAGGTGTTGATGATTGGTGTGCGTGTGCGCGTGCGAGCGTGCATGCATCTGTGTGTGTGCTCGCGCGTGTGTGTGTGTGTGGTTACCAGAGCAGAGTGAACTGCTGGTGGTGCGGCTGTGGAACAGGGGCAGAAGGCTATGGGGAGGGGCCGGAGGGTCTACAACTCCCACTCCCAGCCCCATTCCTGTACGAACTTGGTTTTGGACTAGATGAGGTTGAAAATGCCCTCTATAGGTGATCATTCTGCCTTGCTTACTGGAGGACTTGGATTTCAGTCCTCTACGGTAGCAAGTCCTAGAGAAGACCCTTTGGGGCTAGTCAGTGGCCACAAACACCGCATAGAAATGTCCTGATAGGAATGGGGGTCTACAAGTGGCGAAGGAGGCACCTTACAAATACTTTCCAGTCCCGGATGAGAAACTGTTGATGTCAAAATATGGGGAATTTCCATTTAAAACAGTGTGCACTGAGTAGCATTTCAAAGCGATGAGCAACCTGGGAACCTGCTATTCGCTAAATTCATTCTTTCTTTTGCAGGGTTTCTTGGGCAACAGTTTTGGAAGGCGGCCTGGTTGACAAGTACACAAGTTGAGCTGTGGAAGCCATAGGCTGGGCTAGCGGAAGAAAACCTAGAGTCCACGTCAGCTTCTTCCCCGAACAGCCTCCGCTCGGAGCGCCTCCTACGCCCCCTCTGCAGGCGGTGCGCTTGCTCGCTCACGGCGCATGCTCAGCATCCGAAGGGGGGGGGGAATTCCCCGCATTAACCCTCAGGCCCCGCCCCTTCCCCGGGTCAAGGCGGAGCTTCAGGCGTCGCCCCTGGTGATTGGACGTCGAGGCTCAGATCCCGCGCCTCCCGCTTCGCTCCGCCCTCCACGCCGCAGAGACGCCGAGCTCTGGCCGAAGCGAACGCTCTCCCGGGCGCACGTCAGCGCGCGCCTTGAGCCCCGCGCGCAGGCCCCGCCCCTCCTCTCTGCTCCGCCCCGCCTCCGGCCTCTCCTCTCCGGCTCCGCTCTCAGGCGCTCGCTCAGCAGCTGGGCATCCGCGCTTCTCGGCCATGGAGATCCCTGGGAGTCTATGCAAGAAAGTCAAGCTGAGCAATAACGCGCAGAACTGGGTGAGTGGAGGCCGCAGGCGGGAGCGCGAGGTGCGGGGGCGGCTGTGGGACCCGCGGGCTGCCCGTGCATCCTGCGGGAGCCGGGGGCGGGGACCCAGGCGGCGGCGGTCCGCCGAGGCGAGCCCCGGGCGGGAGCTGTCTCCTGGGCTGGAGAGGCCGAGGGCTGCGGTGGAGACGTAGGAGGGCGCCTCAGCATGGTCCTGGTTTTCTTGGCTCTGCCGGTGGACTTGGGCCGGGTTTGGGTCGGTGTCCAGGTCTTTCCATTTCTGAGTTGCAGTGTGCCGAGAGCATACCCAACAATGTGGCCATTCATAAATCGGGACTGCTCTGGACTGAGGTTCTTTTGTGTCTCTGTTTTAAACCGGAATGCCTGACACAGACATACTTTTGAAGACTCGATTCCTGGTGACAGTTAGGTGTGGGAAGATTAATGGTTTCTAACATTGAGCAGCGAGTGCCAGTTGGCCTTGTTGGCCAAGTACTGTACCCTCGGAAGGGAAGGGTCTTTCCTTCTGAAGTTACTCAAGATGATAAGTGCGAAGGTGGAGACCGTCCAACTTTGGAGGTTGCAAAGGCACTGGTTTTAGGTTTAGATGGAATTTTTTTATTCCACAGCTAACAGGATCATGAGGTTTAAATTCAGTCTTGCAAATCATCGCTTGCCCTTGGCAAGTCGGGGAAGAAAAAAAGCTGTTTCAGGCAAATGTTCTTTTGAAGTTACTAATTTACCATGTCTGCTGTCAGGGTCAAGAATTCTTACTGTCTCCTTTCATTCTTATCTTTAACTTCTTAGAAGGTGAGGGGGGACCGAGGTAAAAGGGAGGTCACGATATTGGAAGGAGACCTGAACTTCTGGCTGGACTCTAGTCCCAGCCTTTGTAAGTTGGACGAACTTGAGGAAAATCACTCTACTTTGAGTCTCAGATGACTGAGGGTGTAACAGCGTGTCCTTTGCAGGATTGTTTTTCTGAGTAGAGAAGATAATGAACTTGAAAGGGCGGTGGACATTTCAACAGGTATTTTATAGGTAGAGAAGTAAGTTGATTAAATTGGAGTTTTTTTCTTTTTTCAAGACAGGGTTTCTCTGTGGCTTTGGAGGGGTTTCTCTGTGGTTTTGGAGGTTGTCCTGGAACTAGCTCTTGTAGACTAGGCTGGTCTCGAACTCACAGAGATCCGCCTGCCTCTGCCTCCCGAGTGCTGGGATTAAAGGCGTGTGCCACCACTGCCTGGCTAAATTGGACTATTTAAAAATAATTTCAGTAACACTGTCTATAAGTCATTTATTTATTTAAAACTTATTTTACTCTTCTGTGTGTCTGCGTGTTTTGCCTGCCTGTATGTATAGGCATCATGTGTGTGCCTGATGTCCATTGAGGTCAGAAGGGAGTGTTGGAGCCATTCAGACTGGAGTTACAGATGGTTGTGAGCCACCGTGTGGGTGCTGGGAATTGAACACAGCTTGTCTTCGAGAACAAGTCCTCTTAACCCCTGAGCTAACTTTCTAGCCCCAAGTTATTTGTATGTTACACTGTTTGCTAAATTAGTGTGTATTTTATGTAGCTGTCCATGCCAAATGTGGGGCTTAGTGGTTGCTTTTTAGTTGCATAGCCCAAGACAGGAGTTTTATTGCAGGTTAGAAGCAAAGTTAGTTTGGCCCCAGGGGATTTAATAAGTTTATGGAGGACCTCATATTTCCGAGGTGGGTGGGAGCCATTACATCTCTGAGTGGAGACTTGCTTGACAATTGCAGGGAGTTTTTGTTGGGGAGCAGAGATAAAGATGGGGTGGAGTAGGGTTGTTTGCTGTAAATGTTTAACTAAATAGTTAGGATGATTTTTGTAGGGGATTTTGGATGGAGCTAGAATTTGGAACTTCCTGAACTGTGTCTTTTCTCTGTGAACTAATAACCCGGGGCTCACTTCAATCTAGGGATGGGTGCAAGCATAACGAAGCTGTACACTGTTAATGTTCCCATTGCTAATCCGGGAAGACTGGTTTGCAGAAGACAGGCAGGCCTGATAGTGAGGATCAGGTAGACTAACTCGTGCCTGGTGCAGCAGCGTTATTGGAGGTGTTTTCGTTGCTGGTTGAGCCAGGGTGAATAGCAGGGTGAAAGGAGCAAAGATTGGAGAGGGGAGACGGGCAGACTAGATTGAGGTGATACAAAGGAAGAAACCGCAAAAGGTGGTCCCAATGTCTTGATCTGAGAAGATGGTTGAAAAGTCAGGACCCTGATTGTGTAAGATGGTGGACATCTGCTGTCCCAGAACTCAATGTTATCACACTTAGTATCTCTATTTTATTAATGAAACAATTGAGGTGCTGAGTTATTAAGGTGTCAATTGGAATTTTAAGCCTGTATTTGAAGGGCAGCCTTAGTTGAAATACTTTGTGGAGTAATTCTACCTAAGAGAAATTGAACCACCTACCTAACAACAACAACAAATTGAAGACCACATTAATATAATTGAAAAATATAAAATAATTGTCAATAATATATTTTGTTTAGCCTAATATAGCCCAAATATTTTCATTTAATATGTTTTTTTAATATACATATAAGCTCAGTACTGTTTGGAATCCGTGTAAAATTACTGGTTTTCCCTTTTTTCTACATTAGAATCTAGAGGGTGTTTTGCATTTATCACGCATCTTAGGGTGGGCATTTTGCATCTGCCCTCTGGGGCCTGTGCACATTGTTGTTACGGTATTGAATTAGGTTAGGCTGGAAGTAAGGACCTAATTGCTAATTTGAGTAGGTATAGAAAGGATGTTAATGAATGTATGGAGAGCAGATTGTAGTCTGCTAGGGAATGGGTAGAAGAAGTGGGCTCATGGAACCCCATAAGTAAGAGATAGAAACAGTGTCATGGCCCTAGGAAGTGCTTTGTTCAGATGTCACCACGTGCCCATAGGTGCAGTAAAGAGCAACCAGGAGTCTGTTTTCCACAGAAGCCCCTTGTATGTCAGCCTGAAATGTAATGAATATTGATTGGTCTTAGCTGACGTAACCTTTCTTCCATGGGGTCAGTCTCCATCTGCCCTTTGTAATGTGTCCCTTGGAGTCACTCATTTGGGACTCAGGTATCACCCTTTTGTATAATCATGTCCAGCTGAACGTCCTGCTCAGGTTAGCTCTATGGTGGGCTGGCTTGTATAAACTGGTCGCCTTGTTAGTATTTGCTACTGTTCTTCCCAGAGACAAATCTGAAACCCAGGATGAGATTCTGAAGGGTAGATAGTCTCTTTCTGGGTTTTCTGTTTTCTTCTCCTATCTTTCCCCATACCTCTGTAGCTCAGCACAGCTTCCTTTTTACACCGTATATCCTTAGCACTTTATCGTCCCTCCTGTCTGGGCTGTCTACAACGTCTTAGACTGGGATCTTCAGAGCCTTGCGCTATTTTGCCTCAAGTGTGTTGCTATGTGGACCTCTTTTTTTTTTTTTTTTTTTAAGAGACAGGGTTTCTCTGTATTGTTTTGGAGGCTATCGGTCCAGCCCGGCCTCGAACTCACAGAGATCTGCCTGCCTCTGCCTCCTGAGTGCTGGGATTAAAGGCGTGGGCCACCACCGCCCGGCCGCTATGTGGACCTCTTACATACTCCCTTGCTCCTGGGTTGAATTGCTTGTCCTGTCTGTGTATATACATTTCCTTAGAGATGTTTTGTGTCTACTGAACTCGGATAGAGTGTAGAGTGACCTGGGTGCTTCTGAGAGGAGAAACCCCTAGTCCGTTTAAGAAAGGGAATGGATGGTGTGTGTGGTGGGGTTCAGATTGCAGCTCTGTCCCTTAACCGTCTGCACGATTGAGGTCACCTCCCCTTAACCCCCTGTGTCATTGATTAATCAGCCGTCACCGTCAGGCTAGAGTATGCCTGTGTCAAAGGTACCGAGGTTTAGTTAGTTAAAAGTTAAGGCTCTGCGGTCCCTGGTCCCTGGCATGTGAGCACTATTCTTGCTGTTACTTATTGATTAATGAGGTATTTAGTACCTGCTTTGTGTGTGCACATCCTGGGTGTGCAGAGGAAGGAGGGCCAAGAGGAACTCTGCTCTGGCGCATTTCACCTCCTGCTTGGAGACAAACAGCCGAAGAAGTGACTACGATAACTCTTCCTTTCACCAACTTCATAGTTGCCAGTCTGTTCCCCTGTGTTGTTAGATTCCTTTCATAGAAGGCCAGCAGCCCAGTCTGCAGCTGGGGGAAGACTAGGATGGTACAGAGTGACCCACATTGAGATGGCTCACGTAGGACATTGTCCTGCATCTAGACGGGGTCATCTTACTCTGCAAGTGTGGGAGCGGATGCTACCGGAAGTGCCTAGAGGCTAGGGAAAGTTCAGATCCTACCAAGAAGCACAGTTTTAATACTGCCTAATGGGGTTTGCATGAATATCCTCCATAGGCCCATGTGGTAAGGGCTGGTGACCCGCCCATGTGCTCTTGGTAGGTGCTAGAACCTTTAAAAGGTTCTGGTGGGAGGAAGTCTGGTCTTTGGGGACATTCTTGAAGGGGTGGTTGCAATCCTGCCCACTTCCTGTCACTTCCCAGCTGCCATGTGGTGAGCATCTTGTTCTTCTTGAACTCACCATCACAAGATTTTGCCTTACAACAGTGGGCCCAGGGACCATGGCGTGAAACTCCTGAATCTGTGAGTCTGCTTTGCTGTTTTGTTGTAGTGATGGAACGCTGTTCTAATGTTTTACAAGATAGTGGTAAAGACTAGGAGAGTCTCTGTTGCTTAGTGTGTAGCCACTGGCCGCACGTGACAACTTTACTGTTAAATAAAGTAAACTCAGTTCCTCAGTTGTACTAGCCGCATATCCAGTGCTGTAGGTGTAGTTTATGATCACCACAGCATAGAACATTCCATCTGCTGGAGGGCTAGGTCTAGCCTTGGGAATCACTGCCCCTTCTCTGTTTTTATTGTACTTTTGTATGAATTTGCATATCTGTGAAGTTTTGCTTTCTTCCCAGGCAAGAGACAGTCACTGTTTTAGTTTT